CAACTTTAAAAACTTCTGAAACTAAATAATTTCCTTCAAATTGTATACTGAAACACTCAGGAACCTAGCTATTTATGTTTAAAACTACAATCTTTCTCTAAGTGATTCCATTGGTGATAAATTCATACAGAATAAGCAGAGAAACAAAAGAAAAAATGACAAAGAACTTTTTCATACTGCTCTACCCAAATGTACAAGTTTTCTGCAAGACTCAGGAAAAAAAAAATCATGTGGATTCTATAAATAGCAAATAGCATGAATACATTTATTATTGGGGAAGACTGTCACTCAATGTACTTACTAACATGAATATTTATCACCAGAAACATGATAATCATGAATCATTCCTTAGTCATTTTTCTTCACTGCTTCTCTGATGATAACTTAAACTGAAAAATTTATATTTGCTGTGAAGCTGCTACTATCAATGAGATCCAGTATTTTCTATTAGAAGGAGAGTTTGCCATTATTTTGATTATCACATCTTCATTTATACAAAATTCATCAATGCGTTAGCCATAATTAAAGTGCAAGACACAAGCACATAGTTCTAGTTTTACAAGCTCAATTTTAATCATAAATTAGAATTCAATTTAATTCTATTCAGTTCAATTTGCCATGGTACTATGTCCTTTTCAGTGATCAAACACTGAATATGAGCAATGACTATCAACAATGAACTCCCAGCTCCTTGAAGATAAGTCTTTATAAGCATAATGAATACAGAATAATATAAACAATAAAAATTCAAAGTAACATCATAAAATATGAGCATAGGGTTGCTATGAGTACTCTAAAATACATAGAAAGCATAAAATAAGTGAGTTGGGAATATAAAGAAAGAAAATGGTGATAGGAATTTCCCCCCTAAATCAGAAAATACATATTCTCAGTGAAATCAAGTTGAGATGAACAATGTTTAAAATAAAAGCCTCTACTTCAACAGACCAATATTTGACATGAAGTTGTCCCATTCAAATACTCATATGCACATAGATGCAAACTCATTAACTGTTTAGATTAAGTTTTGAAATAAAATAAAAACTTCTGTGATATAAGATGGCCACACATTGTCCAAAACGGGCACTGCTGTGTCAATACTGTGTCCCAGATGTGGGACCCCCTAAGGGGCCAAACAACTGCCACCAACACGGTCAGATCTGAGAAACAGAATTTCTTCTTGCAGAGTCCTTTATTACTGAGGGTTTCATCACCATTTGTCTCTATGCCTTTCAACAATCTATGATGTAAGTGGGGCTTAGTCACAGATATCCTGACTCTACTCCTGCTTCTGGAGAGAAGTATAGTGTCACCCTAGGAGAGAAAATTATGCCCATGAACTCCCACCTCCACATCTCAGGAGCCCTTGAGCATCCTATAGTTTACAATCTGGATCTGATTTGGTACCCTTTCATCTAAATCCAACATCATTTTGTTTATAGTAGGGCACAGTCATAAGTTATATACTACTACAATATACTGGACACTGAAAGTATTTGGGGAGGAGAAGAACATTCCAGATTACAAACAAAATGTGATTTCTTTTTTTAGACTTCTTAAGTGAGTAAAGCACTAACACACATTTCTTAGTTATGATATGAAAATATATTCACAAACAATAAAGAAATTATTTTATAAAAGCCAAGGAAAAGATACATAAAACATTTTTAAAATGCAAAACTAATTTGCATATGTAATTTTTTGTATGAATAACATAATACCATGAGCACTCAGGAGATAAAGGACTGTTAAGAGGAGGGTGTTAACCAGAAGAACTGAAATCATTCAAAGCTATAATAGTTAATAAAATTCTCCAAGAATTGTCCTGGGCTCCAAATAAGTTGATTCAAATTGATTGAACTCTGCCAAATATATTAAGAGAAATACAATTCAAAAGCCTTTGAAAGTTACCAGTTCGTTGATCTAAAAGTATTCAGTAACAATTACTTCATAGAGAAAATGTTTTTCCAAGCACTATTTTATATTTAATTTTTCAGCCAGTGTGGTTTTGGGTTCAGGGGACTGTGAAAATGTGTAAGTAACAAAAGCAACAAATATTTTATTTGGTCAGAGTAAACAGATATATTTTTTCCACTTCTGCAATTTCAGTTGGGTTTGAGGAAGAACAGAAAATCTGGAAAATCCTGCATAATGTAGTAGTGAAAGAATGTTGACATGAAAAATATTTAAGAAGCTTCTCTGTGACCACTAAATCATGACTGCATAGCAAAAAAAGTTATTAAAATGGAAATACTTAATTTAGAATAACGAACTTGGTCCTGATATACTAGAGACTACTTTTTCATTAAGAAAATGTGCCCACAATACATTACTTAAAAAAGAAAAAATATCAGGTTTATACTTTCCCATATACCATGAATGCAT